CAGTTCAGAGGCCAGACGTCAGCTCAGGTGACAACAATGACAGCTAATGTCCTCAGTACACCCAAGGCTGTTTGACATACACAACAAATACTAATTTATTCCTCATGATAATTGTATGACCCATTTGCAGATGAAGAAATGGGGGATATGAAATAACTTCCCCAAGATACAGGAATTGGTGGAGCTATGTTATCGATAGATAGCCTCAGCTCCAGCACCTGCACCTTTAACCCCTCCCCTGCACTAACAGCACACAGAGGACTTCCAGCTATGACGTGAAGGCAGAATGGACAGGTCGTGCTCAGTGTTCCACACAAATGTCATAAACCACTCCTACTTTCTGGCTTTAGGAGATGAAAGAGGGTCCATTTGAGGCCAACCCCATGAGGAATGGCACCTGGGAAGAAGATCAAGAATTCATTTTATACACATCAAGCTGACAGCTGAATATATAAGTCTCCAGCAAGAAATCAGAGCTGGAGACACAAATTTGGAAACTGTGGTATTCAGGATAACAGCTCCTCAAAGGGGTCCATGCTTTACTCTCTGGAACCTGTTAATATGTTACCTCTCCCGGTAAAAGTGACTTTGCAGATACAGGCATTCTCCAGGTTACAAATGAGATAGGTTCTATAGGTTTGTTCTTAAGCTGAGTTTTATGTAAATTAGCTATTACCTGTAACCGCCTCCATTCCTAAGTGCAAGTTGTATATCAGTTGGGTGGTTGTAACTTGGGGAATACCTGTATATGATTAAGCTAAAGCTCTTGAGATGAGGAGACTGTCCTGGATTATTTGGGAGGGCTCAATATAATCACAAGGGTCCTCACCAAGGAAGGATGAAGGTCAGGGTCAGAATCAGAGAGACTGGAAGATGTCACACTGCTAGGTTTAAAGACAAGGATGGGACCTTGAGGCAAGGAATACCAGCAGGTCTCAAACAGCCAGAAAAAGCAAAGAAACTCCCTAGATCCTGTGGTAGGAACGCAGCCCTGCAGAGCCTTTGATTTTAAGGCTTTTGACCTCCAGAACTATAAGAGAATAAATCTGCATTTTTTAAACCACTAACTTTGTGGTAATTCATTATAGCAGTGACAGGAAACTAAGACTGGAATTTCAAGTCAGTATTTAAAGTCATATGGTATTGAAAGAGTCAGTAGAGGAAGCAATAACTAACCAGAAGTATCCTTGAGAGATGGGTACTGAACAAAGGAAGAAGGGACGGCCTTCATTAAGGGGAGTATTTCTTCTTTTGTAGCAGAAGTGAAGAAGGAAGTGGGATGGAGGTTGATGCTCGGAGGCTGTAGTGGGAAGATAAAATCATTCCCAAACATTGGCTTTTAGGATCTCAATGAATTAGGTGGCTGGTTCAACAGCAAATCAAGACTTAAACAAAGGGCATTTGCCTCTTAATTTTAGTGCAATTTCTACACTGTACCAAATGATTCTCAAGACTTGTAGTAGGAAATAGCACACAGAAGGGCTACTATATTTAGGCAAATGTAACAAAACTTAGGTGGGCCATTCAAGGTGAAGAGGAACAAATGCTTAGCATCTGTCCTGCCACCATGGTTAAGTTGTGCTCATCAGCCCAGACTCTTGGACTTGGCCCCAGGAGCTTCTCAACACAGCAATCCACAAGGCAGTAGACACTATAGACCAATCTGAACTAGTACTTGAGATGAAATTTATTTATATAGGGACCACAGAGACTATCATTCTTTTTTTTTTTGCAGTGTTTGGCCAGGGCTGGGCTTGAACCTGCCACTCCTGCTATATGGGGCCGGTGCCCTACTCCTTGAGCCACAGGTGCCACTCTACTATTCTTTTTATCTCCTCCCAGGAGCTAAGAATTTAAAAATGACTGAGGAATAGGAAGAATGGCCACTACAGCTATCAAGAAGAGAACGCTTAAGGAAACTGTGGCACAACTGTATCATGGACTTTTACACAACCTTTAAAAAGAATGTGCTAGAGCTGTAATACTGACAAGAAAGACTTTCGAGACAAATTGTCACATGAAAAAGCAGGTCAGAACAATTATACAGCTACTTCATTTATGATTTTTAAAAGAAATCTCTGTGACTCTTGAAAGAAGTATTGGAGAATCCTCCAAGAACTCAATCAGACCTCCCATTTGATCCTGCAGTCCCACTACTGGGCATCTTCCCGAAGGAAAAACTCATTTTATCATGAGAACATTTGCACTAGATTGTGTATTGCAGCTGAATTTACAATCGCCAAGATGTGGAAACAACCTAAATGCCCATCAACCCAGGACTGGATTAGTAAACTGTGATATATGTACACCATGAAATACTATTCAGTCATAATTGGTGACTTTACATCTTTTGTATTAACCTGGATGGAGCCGAAACACATTCTTCTTAGTAAAGTATCACAAGAATGGAAAAGCAAATATCCAATGTATTAAATATTAAAATGGAGCCAACAGATGATCTAATTCATGCCCATATAAGAGAAAAACTCATTTCAGTTCAAGTTGGGGGGAGGGAGAACCAAAGAGGGAAGAGAGGGGAGGAGGGAGAGGGTTCTGTGTGCTCCCACTCAGTGGGCACAATGTAGGGGTGTAGGACACAACTACAAGAGGGACTGTCACCTGGCGGTCTGTACCCTCACATTAACCTGAAATTTAAAGACACAATTCCCTGGGTCCACAGCACACATATGCGTGAGTACTTCAAAAGGTCTAGAAGACAGCACATCAGGCTGCCAATAAGAGCACCAGGGGAAGAGAAGAGTGATGAGCCAGGATACGGGGTGAAGGGAGAACCTCACAGGATTCTGCATGGACCTATATTGAATTGTGTAGAACATGGGATTTTTAAATTTTTTTCTTTTTTTTTGAGACAGAGTGTGGCTAGAGTACAGTGACATCATGGCTCACAGCAACCTCAAAGCCCTGAGCTCAAGTAATCTTCCCTCCTCTGCCTCATGGAGTGCTAGAATTATAGATGTGAACCACCACACCTGGCTGAATAAACATTTTTTAAGTTTATTTTAAAGAATATAAAAGATAAGCAGCTAAAGTACCTGGGCTCGTCTCTATTCAGATCTCCACGTACTCAGACGCGGAATCCATGTAGCAACTCCCCTTTCGGACGCCGCAGATAGAAGGAAAGCTATTGGACTCCATGAGGGGCGGGCAGTCACTCTCCCCCCCACCTCCCTCAGCTGAGTTAGGGCAGTCACTCTGCCCCCCACCTCCCTCAGCTGAGTTAG